GCGATTTGTCCCATGCGCGCGCAACCCTCTGCGGAGATCGTGCGTGTTGAGTGCGCGAAATGCAGGCGAGAGTGCGATTTGTCCGGTGGAGCTGGAAGCTGAGAACTGGCGACCTTGTAGTACAACTGTAGTACGTGGAGTATCTGGGGAGCTGGAAGCTGAGAACTGGCGACCTTGTAGTACAACTTTAGTACGCGGAGCATCTGGGGAGCTGGAAGAGAGTCCCACAAGAGGGTCCCGCAACAGTGTCCCACTAGAGTGTCTCAAAAGAGTGTCCCTTAAGAGTGTCCTACAGGAGTATCCCACAAGAGTGTCCTACAAGAGTGTCCCACAAGAGTGTCCCACAAGAGTGTCCTACAAGACTGTCCCACAAGAGTATCCTACAAGAGTGTCCCACAAGGAGTTCCACAAGAGTGTCCCACAGAGTGTCCCACAAGACTGTCCCACAAGAGTGTCCTACAAGAGTGACCCACAAGAGTGTCCTACAAGAGTGTCCTATAAGAGTGTCCCACAAGAGTGTCCCACAAGAGTGTCCCACAAGAGTTTCCCACAAGAGTGTTCTACAAGAGTGTCTCACAAGAGTGTGCCACAAGAGTGTCCCACAAGAGTGTCCCGCAACAGTGTCGCTCAAGAGTGTCTCACAAGAGTGTCCCTTAAGAGTGTCCCTTAAGAGTGTCCGACAAGAGTATCCCACAAGAGTGTCCTACAAGAGTGTCCCACAAGCGTGTCCCACAAGAGTGTCCTAGAAGAGTGTCCCACAAGAGTTTCCTAAGAGTGTCCCACAAGAGTGTCCTGCAAGTGACCCACAAGAGTGTCCCACAAGAGTGTCTCACAAGAGTGTCCCACAAGAGTGTCCTACAAGAGTGTCCCACAAGAGTGTCCTACAAGAGTGTCCCACAAGAGTGTTCCACAAGAGTGTCCTATAAGAGTGTCCCACAAGAGTGTCCTACAAGAGTGTCCCACAGGAGTTTCCTACAAGAGTGACCCACAAGAGTTTCCTACAAGAGTGTCCTACAAGAGTTTCCGACAAGAGTGTCCTACAAGAGTGTCCTACAAGAGTACCCCACAAGAGTGACCCACAAGAGTGTCCTACAAGAGTGTCCTACAAGAGTGTCCCAGAAGAGTGTCCCACAAGAGTGTCTTACAAGAGTGTCCCACAAGAGTGTCGTACGAGACTGTCCCACAACAGTGTCCCACTAGAGCGTCTCACAAGAGTGTCCCTTAAGAGTGTTCTACACGAGTATCCCACAAGAGTGTCCTACAAGAGTGTCCCACAAGAGTGTCCCACAAGAGTGTCCCACAAGAGTGTCCTACAAGAGTGTCCCACAAGAGTGTCCCACGAGAGTGTCCCACAGAGTGTCCCACAAGAGTGTCCTACAAGAGTGTCCCACAAGAGTTTCCTACAAGAGTGACCCACAAGAGTGTCCTACAAGAGTGTCCTACAAGAGTGTGCCACAAGAGTGTCCCACAAGAGTGTCCTATAAGAGTGTCCCACAAGAGCGTCCCAAAAGAGTTTCCCACAACAGTGTCCTAGAAGAGTGTCCCACAAGAGTTTCCTAAGAGTGTCCCACAAGAGTGTCCTGCAAGTGACCCACAAGAGTGTCCCACAAGAGTGTCTCACAAGGTGTCCCACAAGAGTGTCCCACAAGAGTGTCCCACAAGAGTGTCCCACAAGAGTGTCCTACAAGAGTGTCCCACAAGAGTGTCCCACAAGAGTGTCCTATAAGAGTGCCCCACAAGAGTGTCCTACAGGAGTCTCCCACAAGAGTGTCCTACAAGAGTGTCCCACAAGAGTGTCCTAGAAGAGTGTCCCACAAGAGTGTCCCACAAGAGTGTCCCGCAGAGTGTCCCACAAGAGTGTCCTACAAGAGTGTCGTACAGGAGTGTCCTACAAGAGTGTCCCACAACAGTGTCCCACAAGAGTGTCCTATAAGAGTGTCTCACAAGAGTGTCCCACAAGAGTGTCCCACAAGAGTTTCCGACAAGAGTGTCCTACAAGACTGTCCTACAAGAGTGTCCCACAAGAGTGTCCTACAAGAGTGTCGTGTAAGAGTGTCCCACAAGAGTGTCCTGCAAGTGACCCACAAGAGTGTTCTACAAGAGTGTCTCACAAGAGTGTCCCACAAGAGTGTCCTACAAGAGTGTCCCACAAAAGTGTCCCACAAGAGTGTCCCGCAAGAGTGTCCCACAAGAGTGTCCTATAAGAGTGTCCCACAAGAGTGTCCTACAAGAGTGTCCCACAAGAGTTTCCTACAAGAGTGGCCCACAAGAGTGTCCTACAGAGTGTCCCGCAAGAGTGTCCTACAAGAGTGTCCTTTGGACATATTAGTTTTTCGATCGTGTTTGCATTCGGGTTCGTGGGTTCCATCTTGTTTTATAATGTGTTTTTTTCTCGGCTCAACATAACACATCTCAAGACTACTGAGTTTTTCCAGCGCAATTGCGGGAGGAGGACCTGCCTTTGCAATGTGAGCTGATCGGATGCCATAGAAACGCTTTAGCCCTAACCATACGATTTGAGTATGTTGTTCTTCACATGTTTGGACATTTCTTTCAATTTAAACTCTCCGAGTTTTGTCATTGTCCTCCTAGACCTTATTCTTCCAAGTCGAAAGTCAAAGCAGTTGAAAGGTCTCCAGAAGCAGCTGAACGCTCAAAGACCTACCCTCCCTGGAATTGTAATGGGCCAACGTGGATGGCCCCAAGTTCGGATGACCCTATTCATACCCAACAGCTCGTGCCATCCACGTCACCATGAGGATTGCAGGGAGGGGAGTAGCAGTCAGGACCCTCTTCTCATCATTTTTTCAGCGATTCCGGGCCCGCGAACTGAGCAGAGTCTGCATCGATTTCGACCAGGAAGTCGGCGTGTGACTGGGGTTGATCGGAATGTGTGAAGGAAACGGATGAGCCCATACACCTCTGGCCGACAGGCTGAGAAATGGGTCAGCCCGTTTTGTGAATAGCTGCCTGGCTCGTGGAGTGGGATGGAGACCTCCTGATGACCGTTGGCTCGTGCGAGACAAGTCGGAACTTCCTGAGACAAGGCCCGTGTTCGCTTTTGACAGGTTTCTTCGCCATTCCAAAAGACGGTATACCTCCGCATATAAAGAACACCACCCACCCCTTGTTTTAGGGGTCTTTGCTTCCCATTTTGACACTAGGGGACTTTGATCATGTCATCTTACCCTGCGGAGTGAGGAAACCCTCGATGGTTCCGACAGCCATTTCTCCTTCAGCCTGAGACGAAAGCATCCAAGTCGTGCCATCCGCAGCAGCTACTCTTAGTGGAGCTATATTGGCTCCGGCTCCTCTATAAGGAAGGTCAACCTACCATGGTTTGGTGAGGGAGGTTTTGACTCATAGCCATATGCATGTGTCCTCTCTCATGGGCAGCAACTCGGACTCGAACTCCCAACATGTTTTTCTCTTGCGAGTCTGGGGTCGGACTTCGCCTCTGACAGTCGTAGGCGATCCTATGGGTCGATCGGGTCGGACGGGTAGCCTGTCCAATGAGTATGATGAGCAAGGACGCTACGAACGGGGCTTCTGGCCTTACTACTAGGAGCAAGAACCCTACGTTCGGGGCGGAAGATGTTTTTGTGGGGCAATTTCCCGCACGCTGCTTGGTGGAGGTTCCATTCATTTCCTAAGCTGCATACCCTCCTGAATCTGGGGAGCACCTTTCAGCACCCAAAAAGTCAAGAGCATGACTTCTTGATACTTATTGTAAGACATTGTCGTACATTTCCCCAGATTCCGGATTTGTACAGGGGGCGATCCGTCACCTTCCCCTCAGGTGACGCGAGCCCGACGCAAAGGTTAAAGGCTGCCATCGGGGGAGCTGCCATCCGGTGATGTCTGCCACTTTATGTGAGACCAGTGCATTGCTTGCAGCGGTGCACCGATCTCTGCACAATTCAGCGGTGTAGTCGCCAAGATTTGCGGAGCGGTGCTTGGAACATCCTGATTTCGAAAGGGGTGGAAAGGGGTGTCGTTCGTCATCGTTAGTCGATGTTCGACATGTTTTGTTCTAAATCTTTGATCTTCAAGCACCAGTGCAATCTCCAGCTCAAGCACAGCTCAACAAGCAGCTGTGTTAGCTGTGAACTGCCGACTGCCCAGTCTGGTTTCAAGTAGGTACAAGACTAGTCAAGATACACTCGGGATCACTCGGGGCGTACTACGAATAGGCTGAAAGCCGGAGCCATCTGACGACTGGCGAGCTCTCGTTCCGATGTCGCCACACCTTCAGTTGGCGCGAAGAACTTACGCCCCGGCCCCATGTATATAGAACGTGTTTCGGCTTAGAGTCTGCGTGACCCAGAGAAACGGAACGTGCTGCATATTGATATTTTAGCAAGCCACTTAGAAGTGAAGGTAAGTGTGCACAAATGACGTTCGGGTACAGCTTTCAATGAACATGGTTTTCCTTCTGATCGCCCGTTTTTCCTTCTGATCTTGGGCTCGTGGTGGTCGCGTTCGACCTGAAAAACATGCGCCTCGTTGTAGTGAACAGAGCGGAACGCGTGCTGAGGTGATGTGCTTCGCTGAAGGTTTGGCGAAGGGTCATCGTGGCTATCTCTGAGGAGATCATGTCACAGGAAAAAGCGAAACGCAAAAAGGAGGTTTGATCCAGTGGGTCGCAGGCTGTTCTGCGTGAATCTTATCCAGAAAGCAGGGTTGATCAACATAAACAAAGGCTCATACACCTTGCTTGGTTTGTATTCTGCATCCCGGCATCCAGCAAGTTCCACTTAGATCCACTTGCCATCCAACAGCTGTAGTTGAAGTCGGGGAGAAACTGGGGAAGTGAGACAACCGGCTCAAGTCCAGAGTGCGAAGAGATTCAACTGTGAATGATGTGAAGGAATCATCTGTGTTCTGATTGGCGTCTCTGCCCACCTTTGTTCGTTATTCCCAAAGGGTTGGTTGTTCAGCCGGGGGTATGCGGCTTCCGTCTTCCCTCATGTTTCAAGAGTGCAAGCCAGCATCTTTGATGCCAAACCACGCCGTCGAAATTGTGTTTTGTGGCAAGCAACCACGCCGCAGGTTGGCAGTACCAGGTTCTTGGGTTGTCTCGAGTGGCAAAAGCATGGATCATGGTGGCTTCCAAAACGAAAATGCTTTGACATTCTTGGGGTAAGCGGTGTGCCACCGGGGTGGGCCAAGTTCCTTGGCAAAATTGGGTCATAGCTCAGAAGATGAACAATAACTGAGAAGACTGCAAAGACCAATGAGCCACCTTTTTGTGACATCTCCTACCTTGGATGGACACTTGCAGTGAGCACAGGCTCGAGTCATGGTATATTGAAAAAACTATGAACAAATTGGAGGACAACCATAAGAGGACATATGTGGCTCAACGCATCAGGAACTCGGGTCCTTACCTGGGTGCCTGATGCCAGTACATGCGTTTCTTCCCGCCTACTTGCGCGCCACCGCCGTCTTTCTCAGCTCGAGCTTGGCGGATCTGTCTGTCTCTCAGCGTTTCAGTGCGGCGTTTCTGCCACTCGTCCGGGTCCTCAGAGGGTGGACTTCCCCAGCTCAGAGGTGGCGACTGGTGAGGGTTCTTCCTTTAGTCAGTCCAGCCGACTCCTTGGACATCAACCGCCTGTCGAACTACTGAACCACCCGCTACGCGGAGGCCTTGGGGCGGTTTTGAATGGATTTTTCATGGAGGCCACTTTGACTGCGCGTGAGTGTCCCAACTGTGTCACAGACGGTATCAGCTACTTTTCCTTTTTGTTTGGGTCCTGAAAAACCCAACCTTATCACCACAGGTCCACCTTCGAGCCTGCGGTCGATGGCTAGGGAGCCCTCCACTCCATCACCCAGGTCGAAGCTCCATCATGCTGCGACAGATCTGCTTGAAGGTGAGCGGGGTGGGGTCGAAGCGACCGTCGCTCGCTCAAGAGCTCGGGGGTTTTGAAACGCGACTGACAAGCCACCACAAATGAACAATGTTGGCCGACAAATGGATTGGTCTTCCGATGTCATTATATACAGGCAAACAACAATGTCGTCACTGTTTTTTTGAAGTATTGTTATCCTGCCTTGTGGGGAATGCTTTGCGGAAAGTTGTCTCTTTTTCCAAAACACAAGCCAACTCTGTTGGTTGGAAAGGGACCTACTTTTTAGGTTGTATGCTGAGGCTCTCATCGAAAGGTGTTTTACGCTGTACTGGCAACTCATAAGGGGTTAAGAATGCCTGCTGAAGCAATGAGTTTCTTATTCTGTAGTGGGTCCTGCAAGCAGCTCGCAAGCCACATACATGCGAGACAAGCACAGTCATTTCCAGGCTTGCCAGTGCAGTTCGCAATGGAACACCTGTGGACTTGGACAGATTACGCCAAGATAGCGAGAGCTACTGGGAGAGCTAGTGGGGTTCTTATTTCCAGTATAGGAAGAGGTGCCCTCGTTGCAGGGTGTTGCTGCCAGATGTCTAGTGCGCGCTTTGCTGGTACCGCTTTTCTGCCACTGTCTAGGCATAGTTTTGGGTAGTCTCGGGCGTGCAGTTTTGGATCTCGCCCGGATCTCGCCCAGAGCCACCATCCTCCTGCTGCTGCTGTTCGTGTGCTGCTGCCACTGATTGGCTGCTTCCACACTGCAGTTTGATTTTTTTAACTCAAAGCCCAAACTTTCTTTTGGGGCAAATCTTGTTTGGGTATCAGTGTTCCATTGGGATCAGCTCCCGGGGGTGACTGGGGGATGACTTCTTGCAAACAGCGTTGCCATGGTGATTTGGCATTGAAATAGTGGCAAGGGGTGACTAAGGGAGGACTTTGTCAGGTTCCTGTTGTCGTTATACCATGTTATACCATGTGATACCTCCATGTTACAGGGAAAGACGATGAGAGGTAGAGGTGTGTGCAATGGTAGTTGATCTGGCGAAGGGATCATAGTGTGAGCCAGTTTGTGGTTTCGGGAGGGTTTCAGGTGGGTATATGGATTTGAGGAAGAGAACAAAAAGGAGGTGAACAGGTCGACCGGATCCGGATCCGCTTGACGGAGCCTTCGGTTTTGGTCCAGAACGGGGCCCAAGTCATTGAGGCGCCAGGTGCACAAGTTTGGTGAAGACGCAACTCCATCCAACTCTATCCACCATGTCCCAGGACCATTCTGTCCTGGGTGTCCCACAGACTAGACTGCACTTTTTCAGGTCCGTATACATCCATCTATCCAGGCCGCAAAGCAGGCGGCGCGCCCACAGCTGCTCCAGCCGCCGGGGCGCCCGCTGTGCAGGTGGCGGCGGATGCAGATTTCCCCTATCTAAGCGCACTTGTTGAAGAAACCAACCTAAGTGGTGAGTGTGTCAACCCCCCACCAAAAGCATACGCCACCAGACGGTAGATGCAGATCCATTGGGTGGTCACCCCCCAAGAAATAACCTATAAGCCAAAACGCAGGTTCGGACACCCTACACTCCCTGGAACTCACATGGAAGTGGAACCCCCCTGTTTGTATAGTTGGCTCAGCACTCGCGTTCCAGTTTGGGCGTCTCGACACTATATGAATAAAAGAAGAGATAAGATATGATAAACATATTAAGATGCATTTCCAGATTCATTTGCAGATTTTCGAATGGTTTACATGTTAAAATTGACTTATTTCACAACAGTTGTGGATGTCGACAAAAGAGCCATCTCTCGGGTCTGGACATTCCATTCACACCCCCAACAATGCCGCATGGTAAAGGATTTAAATGAGGCATGATGAATCCATTTGGGGTGGCATGTTCATTTACACCCGGAATGGGTGTGTCACCCCATTATGCCGAGACTCATGAGACTCATGAGACCTCTGGTGGCAGTCTGACTTTGAAGACCTCGGACCTCCGTCATGAGCCTGCTTCATCTTGGCGCAATGAGCGTGCAATGTTTCAAGGCGGAGGTTTCTGGTAGACCGACGGACACCCACTCTCGGACGAAATCATGTCCAATCAAACATGCTTATGCTACTCTTGACAAGCAGCCCAAACCACAGACACTGACCCTGCCATATTGAATTACCTCTTTCACAAAATCGTACCGCGTACCTCTGTTCTGGAATGGGACTGCTTGGCTCGCCGAGCCTCTCAAAACAAAGTTCACCCTGACTCAATGAAGTTGAAACACATTAGCCTGTATGTCCTTCTTGATGAGTGTTCCTGGACCGCAGATTCGTAACTCCTTGGCTTTCTGGAACTCAATTTGTTTTGGTTTCACTTTCATTTGGCCTGTTTCTGGTTATAGATCAGTTCAGGCGTGGTTTCAGAGGTTCTCATTTTCATGTACATGTCCCAAGAACCGGCTTTTGCCAAGAGGTCGATTGGGTCGGCAATAGCCGTACATTGCGCTTGTAGAGCGGTTGTCGCTTGTCCAAGGGGCCATGGCGGCCAAATTTTGTTCCAGGGAATATAGGAGACGCCTTGGCAAGACCTCCAAAACTGCTTCACAGGAGACGCCTCCTTGAATCAATCTGCAGTCAGTCTGCAGTCGGTCCCTTGCTAGGGACGAGTGGTGCGGGTAGTAGCATTTGTCCTTGACCTTTGGGGCCCTTCGTCCCAACACCCTTGGTTCCGGTTCGAACACGAACACCCACCCCGCCCAGAACCCAGCAGCTGGTGCGCCACTTCGGCGGACCCGTCGGGGTGCCCAAAAAGCGTGTTGCTTGGTGGCCAAGATCGTGGTCGGCTTTTCTGAGCGTCTTCTTATTGTAGAAAAAGCTAGGTTTTGGTATTCAACCCTTCTGGTTGAGCAGTTCGTTTAAATTTTGTGTGAAACGCCCATCTTCAGTCAACCTGTGTTCCTTTCACTTGTGAGTTGAAGTCGCCAGTACAGGCTTCACCTGAGTTTTATTCACTGTGCATGTGGGGTTGACCGCTGTTGTCTCACAGCAAATGTTCTTGCTTTAATTGATTTTTCTGTTGGATTCATGTGGGCTGACTGATTGAATTCGTCGCTTGCTCATCTGCACGGCGGGTTTTCAGGTCAACTCATCGTCTTTTCATGGACTCTTCATTCCCCCGAAAATGGATGCAGGTCTGGCAGGTCTGGCACTGTGGTGGTGACCTCGGCCCGTCAGGTCGTGCCCAAATCGCAGGGCAAGACCTTCCGCCCAGCCTCGCTGGGGGCCCAGGGCATCTGGAGATCGGGAGATTTGGCGCCTGGTGCGCCTGGTAGGTTGACCTCCGAAACGGAGTCTATTCTGTTCATCTTTGGTGGGAAGAACCAGGGCTTTCCCGGTGCCATGATCCACAGGGCTGCTGGCAGTTTGGATGAAGATGCTTAAAGACAGGGCACCAGATTTACGTTTCCAGAATGTTTTGTTTTTTTCCAAACCATGGGCACAAAGACTCCTGCCATGTGGAAAAACACACATGTTTTTGTTGGTGGGTTCCAGGCACTGTGAGCCACTCTGCTTGCTGAGTGCCGTGAGTGGAGGCCATCCGAGCCGGACATGGAGTATGTGGAGACGTTCGGGAGCCGAGCATCGACTCCACTAAGCCGAGCCATTGGAATTGTCGGCTTATATCGTGGGCTTCGTCGGGTCTCGGCAGAGGCTGTGGTTTTGACATGGGGGCCTTCTTAGAGTAGAGAGTAGTGAGTAGACACGCTAGAGAAGCTGCTTAGGCAAAGTGGGTTGTAGAATTGGGAGAAGTATACCGCTGTCATGAGTCCAGGTGTGGTTTTCAGGAGCAATCTCTTGAATGGGTGAGGCTCATCTACTTTTCATCTTTCTCATGGCAGGGACTGCCAGTATGCCTGAATCCCCAACAGCAGGAAACATGAAGAACATCCTGTCCTCACCCATGTCTCCTTGATTCTCTTGGTGTTTCCCACGAATCCCTTCGGTTCCCGAGTTGCAAACACCACAATCCGGGAGAAGTGGAAGCCCAGGTCGACCTTTGGGCCGAGTTTTCTCAGGACCAGGAGGATCAATTCGTGGTTTTACACTCCCCCGGCTGAAGAGTGTTTGGTCATCCATGTCGTTGATAACGAAGACCAGTCGTTGGCTTGTGCTTCAACCAACGACTTGAGATGAAAAACGCAACATCGAACAGTGCAGTGCAGGAGCAGAACACTTTTCGTTCTGCAGGTGGTAGGCCCTAGGCGTTCGAAAGACCCGGGGCTCCATTCAGACGGTATATTTTGGAAAGCCCCAATATTGACCTTTTGTTCTGAAAAATCCCCCAAAGTGTGAAAGGGGCTGTTGGGAAGGCGAGAGCCGCCATGCAAGCTTAATAGAGACTCTTGATTAATAACACCCCCTTTGAAGAGCTCTTACAATTCAAATACGAGGGTTTTGTAAATCAAGATTATGCATTTATATACTCCATATGCAGAACACATTGGTGATCAAACCACCCACTCTCCTCACCTGCACATGCGCTGACCATCGTGCCGTGCCTTAGGCCATCCATGCTCTACCTGACCGGCGTCGTCACCGTTTCGGGGCATTGAACTGCTCGGGTCACGTCTATGGTGGTCAATGGTAGTTTGCAGACTCTTTCTTCATAAAACCGACCTCCCCCATTTGGATTGTAGAATCTCTTCTAATATGGGTGGTTTATTAAGCAGAGGACCACATTAATCAAGAGTCTACATTAGTCTTTTGAGTGAAATCCAGTGGGTTACGGCATTGTTTAAAAATTTTAAAAGCTGTGGTTGTTAGCAAGACGCTGCAAGCAGCCATTGTCTTTTCAGCCACCGGAATCATCGCTTCCCAGCAGATATGTCAAGGTGCTTGCAGCAGCCTACAGGGGTCGAAAGTCATATACGTATTCCCCATTCAAGCCTTCCCATTGACCCGAGTGAAGGCGTGTGACCACTGTGACCAGCGTGAGCCTCCTCACATGCATTCATGACTCCCAACGACCCTACGCAGAAGTTTTTTTTGGGGTTTGAGCTCCTTGCAGAAAGGCCAATTGCCATCAAACGTCGGGTACGGCTATAGATACCTTTTTTTTGGTTCACCACGTTCTCTTACGAACCAGGTTCCTGCGAACCGTCCCGAATTTTTGGGTACATGATCGTATCTCATTAGCATCTGATCCTCATCCTCATCCGCAAAAAAGCACCTCATCCTCCTTCTCCTGCGGCCGGTGGGACTGACATCGGCGCTACCGAGGTTCCAATTGTTGGGCCCTCAAGAGCGGAGTAAACACCCGTTTGAAGAAGCGCCCATCAGCTAGGACTGGGGGAAGAAGTAAAAATGGCTAAGTACTTAGACCCGGTCAAAGCAATTTGGATACATTGAACTACTGTGGGATTGAATGGGTCCATCCAATTCGGATTTCAGATCCCATCAGTGCAACCGGAATGGTGGACCAGCTGGGGTTCTACCAGGGGAGACACATCGATCTGGGAGACCCATGGAGTGGGCGGCCGAGTGGGCGGCGGAGGTGAAGTCAGACCTGGTGACCACGGTGACACGAAGACTTCTCATCTGTCTACAAGGTTGACACGTTTGCGTGGTTCATTGATACACATGTCTGACTCCTGGAAGTGATGTTCACAAGTGCTCTGGAAAAGAACAATCGCTGGTCATCTTCCAATTTGTTGAGGTCTTCAGCTTCTGGTACCTCACCCAGTTCGTGTGAGAGCGGATATCGGATCGGATGATGAACTGAGCCCGGCTGGCAATAGGCAATAGATTTCTTTATGCTCTGAGATTGGGAGATGGGACATGTTGGAACTAGAAGTTGGAAGCTGGATGACTTATATAATATAGTTGTGTGCTTGGCAAAGGTTTGAAGACACATACACAAGCAGCACCAAATTGGGAGGTCAGGGTTGATCTAGACTTGAATTTTGACCACCTTTTTGACAAAGAGGGCATGAAACAGGTGTCAGTGTCTTGATCAACCCGGAGGTATCAAGGCTCAAGGTTTTCAGCGATGTCAGCTTTCACTTCTTACGTCTTGCAGCCCCCAGGGGCATGACGGAACCGTGGAGAAAAGGAACGGCACCGACGCATGTCGTCGTGCAGTGCCGGCGCCCCCTACAGCGCTGAGTTCGCAGACACGTCGAACGACCCGTCCGACGGGTGCCGTGAGGACGCGCCGTTTCGCTGGTCTCTAGGAAGACAGGAAAACGCGTACGCTCGACAGAGCAAGCACGACATGTATTTGCGTTCCTGGGCTTACTTTGAGTCCATACTCTGGCTAGAGGAGGTGACTCATTCTTGACTTTCGCATTTTCAGGAGGCTAAAGCAAGGCTTGGAAGTAAAGCAAGGCCCAATGCCTTTGTACGGCTGACAAACTATCACACCCTCTGACCACCAAATCCTCCCTGTTTGGTATGCGCAACACCCTCTTCCAACGAGCGAAACGGCGCGATCCACAGAACCACGTGAGCCACGTGACTCTCGGAGAGCGTAGCGTCACACGTGTGTGCTTTTTCACATGCTTTGCACTTGGATGTGGGTCAAATTCTCCAAACATGCTGGATCCCACATGGTAGGGTTGACCATATCTGGTGTAGTTCGTTTTGATGGGTTCGGCCTTATGGTAGATGTATGTAGATGTATGTCTATGATGTGACTTTGTCATGATTGGATTCATGTTCTTCGGAGATAGTTGCGGGTTTGATTCCTTTTGTGTCGCACCTGCATCATGTTGAGCACGAAGGACACCATAGCAGTTTTCTTCATGTTGGGTTGTTTCTACAGGTTTGTACATGTTTATACTTCAATCCTTGACCAATCATTCTCTTCATGTGAATGACCTTGGCTCAGACCCCGGGCGTTGCGGTCCCACCGAGATCTGTCCACCGAAGAACATCGCCATCGCCCGGGACGCCAAGCGACGTGCGGGTCTGGTGCAGCGAGGCCGGCGTTGGATGGAGGCCGGGTTCTTGAGTCACTTTAACAGGGAAGTTTGGGAGAGCATTTTTAGATGAAGAGATCAAATACACCGAGGTTCAGCCGTTCTGGTAAAGCCCAACATCACTTTATTGGGTTCGTCCGTTCTGGTACATAGAGGTTCAACTTGAGATTTCCCGAGCTGAAAAGGAGCTCCACCGCGTGACCCACTTGAGCCACGCCAGCTTGGCCAACCCGAACGGATCACCGTCGTGGTTTTTGCTCCACGTGTCGGCGTGCTAAGGCCCCAACGGATGGCGCAAGCATTCAAGCGATTCGTTCCACTGGCGGATCGCGCGGGGTCTCAGTCGAGGGTGATGCAGGCAATGCCGAACGTCTAAGACTGAAGGCCTGGAAAACCGAAAACCCCGAAACAGTGCTTCTGTGCGTCATTTGAGGCATTTTGGTACAGAAGCTGAAGGCGGGAGGAATTTTCGTCCGTCGTGTGTTGAAGAGAAGTGGGTGGGGCTTGTGGATAGCTATTGGTTCTCCTTGAGATCAGACTCACAGCCATCCGATCGCTTTGAAGTCATGGGCCGGTGGGGCACAGCAGTTTGCTTTCATGACTTCATGGAAGGGTGACGATGCTTCAAGGAAGATGTTTCTTTTTTGCCTTCTTTATCTTCTTCAGGGTTTGCTTACCTGTACACTCTGCACTGCAACGCCAAACTCAGACAGGATATTCTGTCAAGATTGGGGTAGTTGCCACTAGACTTCAATTGTTGTACCTGAACGTTGCAAGTTGATTTGGGCAAGAGGTCCCACGTCTCAAGTCACCAAGTCACCAAGTCTGTTCTGCAGCACTGGACCCGGTCGTGGACGCGGTTTGAGAGATGGTTTGAGAGGGTGGAAGGGTTTTCTTGAGGAACATGTGAATCAGAGTGTAGCTTCCAGTCAAAGGGTTTTGGCCATTGCGGTTGACATGCCACTGGTTCTGGTTGACCCGACACGCGCAGTTGGTGTCGAGGCAGAGGCCAAATCTGCAGGCGGAGTCCTATTGCCCGACTCGGCAAAACAGGAAATCAACCAGGCGCATGTCGGATGGTTTTGCTCATCGATGAGCAAGGGCTGTGGAACTACAAGGAGACTTCCCAAAGACCGCTAGAAGAAGGGAACATGATTCTATGAAAGACATCGTCAGAGGTTGGGAGGTTTCGTCCCTTTCGGGATGCATGTGGTGCGCGGTCGGCACCAACCTCTCACGATCTTCGATGCATCGAGGGTCCTAATGGACTGCCGGCCCATGCTCTGATCCGCAGTCGTCACCTAAACGAAGCCATGGCCGCGTAGAAGAAACTCTCCCAGGTCTTTGGCAGTGGCGAAAGACCAGAGGAAATCTGAAGAATGTGAAGCGACATCCAGGTGAAAGAACACAGATGATGCCATCACCAAGCAAAACTCATGTTCTTTGGGAGAATCTGACTCTTCTTGGATTCGACAAACACGGAAGCCCATCACACCAGCCTCATACCGCGTCCGAGCTTTAGCTTTCACTGTGCTCTTCCATCCCTATTCCTCGCTGTCCACCGCCAACCATGGCAGGCGAAGGTGATGGCGATTGGCATGGGGCGCAGGAACCCAAAGGGTGAGATGATCCCGATGAACACCAAGGCGTTCACGGGCAGTCTGACGTGAGGGAGGAGGGGACCCCGGAGGGGAGAAACGTTTTCTTTTTGTTACTAGTAGTAAGGCACTTGTTCCTAGTAGCGAACATTGTTACTACTAGTAAGGCACCTGTTACTACTAGCGTGGCACTTGTTACTAGTAGCGTCCTCTCTAGGTTGACTCAACCTCAACCTCTCCCATTGGATGATCTCTGTAAATACCTAACCTAACATTACAAGGGCCTCTTCTCTTGGTGGACGAACGTGCCGGTTTCTGTGTGTTGTGATGCGTGGTTGGACCGAGAGCCGGCGAGTGACGGTGACGAAATGGGGGGGACAAAGGACCGGTGGCTTCAAACTCAGATGGTTTTGAGGGGTTGGTCATGGCCTGGCCAGTCTTATTTTGCTTTTCCCTTGTCACTCCAGGGTTTTCTGCATGCTTCTGAGCAACACACAGAATCCATCAGAATCCGAGTTTTCGCATCATTTTCCCGTTCCCTTCACTCTCACACCTCTCCGCACCCCGTGCCCGTTCTTTTCGGCGGACACCGGTGAGGTGGGCGACACGGTGATCATCCCCAGGTACGGTGGCACCGAGGCGCGACACGGTCGTCACATCGAGTCGGCGATGCCTTGCGAAGAGGGTTTGCTGGCCGAGCTTCAGACCCTGGGACCATGGACCCTGAAAACCCACTGGTTGGTAGAGGAAACTCGTCTAGACATGGGGCCAGGACGTCAGGGTCTATGTTAGTTTTCGGGAGTGTAAGTCATCACTGGAAAGCTTGTAGCGAAAGAGTTGAGTTGGGACATGGTTCTCCTGAAGTGGTCCCGAAGTGGTCCAGATTGGAGGGGTCCCTGCCTGCCTTAAAGCTCAGTTTTTGGAGAAGCAAAGTCAACACCTCGAATCGTCGGGGGATGGGGCATCCCATGCGGGGATGAATCAGATGAACCACTTTGATTGGGGGATCCAAACCCGGAAGGGTCTGGGGAAGACCCATCAGAGATATTCAGAACGAGGTCGACTTCCGCCGCAGGGGGGTTCGACTCATTACTTACTCCCTAAAATCACAATGGACATGGAGAAAAACAACCTGACGAACAGGAAGGGTAATGTAGAAAGAAAGATTCTTGTTTGCAGTACATTCGATGATGTAAGCTCAGAATGTGGTCTCCTGTAAGTCTTTTCAGTCGAAGCTGGAAACTGCTCTGTCTGAGTAGGGCATGATCTGTCGCAATGTTATGCATTGTTATGCTTTGTTTAACAATCATTGTCAATCAAGAACCCTCATCTACCAGCAGCCCTAAATCCAAATCCTCCACCACATCCACCGACCACATTTAGAAGCTCCATTTTTTCAGCGCATCTCCCCAACGCCACCGGCCAAAAAACACCACCCGAAATAGGCCAACACATTGGACAACATCCCCCAATAGGCCAGGCCACACCCCCTCAAACATCCGCCACATCTGCCCATCCAGACCGCGCCGCCGCCCACGCGAAAAACCACCAACACCAAGACCAGACCACAGCAACACGAACGGTCATCCTTGAGGAGCCGTGCCACGTGACGTAACCATGATGATCGGGAGTGTACTTGCCAGAATGCTGCGATTTGGCCGACGGCTGATGCTACTTGTTGCAGAATGTGACCGGGAAGTTCGGTATTTAAGCTGTTGACCTCTGCGAAAAAAACAGCAACTGACAGTTCGGCATAGTTTGGCTACTATTTGTGTTGTTTTGTTCTATCGCAGATATGTGGCACAACTATTTTTTTAATAGTATGCCTATGACATCTGACATTTTGATTGATACATGAACAACAGCAGGCATGGTCACGGAGTTTCATCAGGATTCCCCTGTCACCGTCATCCTATATGTCACACGTGATCGTCTATATATTTTCCCATACTTGTAGAGCCATATGCAATTTGACATACATAGTTAACACATGTTGACTGCCCTCGTTCTCCCTCGTAAACATTGGGGCCACCACAGTGAGAAAACACAAACAAGTTGAAGGTCCAAAATCCTGCACCACCTCCTCAGAGGGGTCGCGCCAACATTGAATCAGGGGGCGCGGGGGTTGCTATGCAACCCTTCCAGGGTAAAGTGGTGAGGTGGTGCAGGATTTTGTCCATCAACAGTAGGTGATTTGCTGGGGCACCTTTGTTTTTTCGTGCTCTCCGGTTCGCTCTGATTTCTCATCTGGATCCTCGACGCTGGGGATCGGTTTCACCCCGCCCAGATCAAGCTGGGAGATGAGGAATTTCACATCTACAGGGATGAGGCAACGTCCGGCTGCGGCGGCTGCGCCGGCGGAAGGGCGCCGGCTGCTTCGGGGGTGTCGAAGTCTTCCACCTGTCTTGGACACCCAGGGGGGAGCTGTTGGGTCTTTTAGGAAAGCTGTTGGCATCAAGTCGTAAAAGGGAAAGCTGCTGGGCGACAGAGGACCGTAAACTGCGATACTCTCTTTGAAATCAACATGGTTATGTGATGTGACGTGGAAGGCATCACCCCGACCATTTTCCCTGAAATCATCGGTGGTTTTCTTCACTTCCATTATTTTAGGGAATGTACCTTCAGTTGGGAGATTCGATGCAAAATGCTTGCTCTGTAGTCTTTAGGGGAGCCCCTACGTGCCAAGAGTCATATGAACTGATACAAAAGGGTCGGTGTGCTATGCTACCTGGCACAGATCTGCTCTTGAATGGTGGTATACAGTATACAGTGTTCGTGCCTGTGGTTTTGTCCCAATCTGTGGTTTTGTCTCCATCCGCAACAGCCATCCATCTGAACCAGGACATCGTCGGTATCGTCAAGGAGGAATGAGAGTCTTTCATCTGACACCAAAACATGGCACATCTTTTGGATGGAGCCTGGTGAGCTGATAGACTCGAGTTATGTCTTCACCGTAGGCAGTGGAAACCGCACCGGTTGAGTCTCGTGACTGGGTTTTCATGGAGATGAAGCACATAGGGCTTGACAATCACAGCTTCTGTAGAAGCCGATCCTACCGCCCGACTTGGGTCGCCTGTTCGATTTCTGTATGCTCCTCCAGAGGTTTGCTCCACAGCATGTCTCAATTGAAGACGATTGAAGTCAATGCGTTGAAGTCCAAGCGGGGCAGTTCTGTTGATCCTTTTGGCACGGCCACTCCGGTCTTCCGGGTCCGGACCACAACCGGGTCACCAGGTCAGGTCAGGTTGGTAAACAATGATCACTATTTTAGAGAAAGGCCTGCAACTGAACCATCATCCACGGTTACTGGTAATAGGATAGACCCCAAACACATGTATTCTCCAGACCAAAAGGCGGACTCACGAACCCAGACACGGGATCTGCAGTGACGCGATGTCACGTTGAACCACACCCGTTCGCCATTTTGCTGCTGTGGTCGACGACAAAGCCGAACTGACTTTTGCAGGGCAACCCGTCTACCCGAACCACCGCAAAGCACCTGAGTTTCCTGGAAAAGATCTTCCCAAACGATCCAGAACTACAACTTGCTGTCGTTGGGTTCGCATGAATTGGACCCTAAAGATGCACCTAACTTGAGGTTCGGGTCCTGTTCAAGGCCTCACTGAGCTGACCCTTGTAGACTCCACAGATGTTACTTGAAAATCCCCCACAGAGATGAAGAGGCTTTACAATCCCATGTCTCTTCTTTTTTCTCATCAACTTTCCACATTACCCAGGCAGACGAGCTACTTCACCCACTTCGGCACACTTCCATTTCAGGGCTATTTGGATAGGTTTGGATAGATTTCTTCCAGCTGGGAAAGGGGCAAAATCCTTCAACAGTCCTCCGGTGCAATCCGACGGTCAAGTCAGGCTGAAGCTTCTTTGTGCTTGAGGTCCGTGAAGGGAGTCGGTTCTTTTTGAGTCCAAGCCAGATCAACCGCGGTTTTCCATTTTTTCCATTGTAGATGACCATAGATGACCCATCAGCATCCTTCCTTTATGGGTGGGCACAGCTATACATCGTGGGCATGTATCCCATCGTTCAGCTTCCAACATCATGTTAAGCATCGGCCATAGCTGGGCAAAAACACTTGGCCCCGAAAAAGACCTCCCACCGGCGGACGCGGCCAACAAACATGGAGTTTGCTGCTTGCGCTTTGGAGGGGTGGATTTGAGTGAAGGCGAGTGAAGGGGGATTTGCACTTGATCGTGCTGTTTGGCCCCCCAAAGAAGAATGGACCAGGGGAACATAGACATGAACCCCAACCGGTTCACCAGGTCCACATAAAGGGTGCCAAATTTTGATCCATGTCCATTTGGCTTGGTCTTTATTCTTGATCATTAGACACACAAGGTGTTTGCATGTTTTTTCCCCGCACCGAGACGTTAAGCTTGACTCACACTCAGGCCCATCGCCACAAATGCTTCTCTTGCTGGTCATGACAGCATACGACAGCCGGTCGTCTTCTTGGTCATGTCTTCGTTGTCGGAGCCATGTCTTGTTTGGATCTCAGGACTGGTGGATCCTTTTTGGGGCTCCACTTCGACTCATCCAAGACCTAAGAGATGTTGAGCACGATGCTGTTGAGTCGGTCCGTGGAGGTGCAGGGACGGAGACGGTTGCATCGAAAAGAACTCAGACGGTTGCATCTGGTAACTACCATGAGTTCACCCAGACACTGGTCTTTGGGATGTAGTAATTGCCTAGCTATGCCTAGCTGCTTTGCTTCAGATTCCAATGGCTAGCCTGGCGTGCGGTATCGGAAGGCAGGCCCAGAGCAACGCGACTCCCGACAAAACTCACAGGTTTCAGGTGGTTGCTGGAAAGCGCTGGTTGCTGCCCTGCACAATCTGTCCTTCCCTGGCTGAGGGCCAGGGTCTCACCGGATGGCTATCACGGAGGGCCAGGGTCTCATGTAGTGCAACGAGGCAGACATCTAACGCAGCATGTTTCCCGCTCTGCTGCTGCATTTGGCTCGTGCTGTATGTTTGTTTAGCCGCTACGAGCGCAGGATGAGAGGCAGGATGAGCCCTGAGGGAGTCCCAGAGGGGTTCATGTGCATAGACTCATTACACTCCCGGAATTTATATATCATGAAAGTGGAGAAAAACAGTCCTGTTGTGTATTTGGATTTCATGGTCATCCGAACTCCGGGCCATGCCATCCACGTTGGCCCATGAATATTTCAGGGAGTGTGTCTTACACACGGTGGATCTCACCCTCATCATTCTTTTTTGCCACATGTGTGTCATCCCAAACGTTTGGAGGCAAACGCTTCCCCGAAGATTGGTCGAGGTAATTTTGGCTGGAGAGTCCTTTGGAATCCTTTGGAGATACAGACATACAATATCATACCATGACACAATAAAAGGATCTCTCTCTCTCTCTCTAATATATATATATAAATACAGAAGGGATTGTCATGGGGGGTGGGTTTTTAATTCATAGGTTTTTTAATGATTTTCTAGTTAAGGAACATGAAAAGCCTGCAGAGGATCAAAAAAAACAAGAAACAATTTTCTGAGACTTTCGACGAAAATAGAGAAGTCTGCAGAGGACCAAAAAAACCAAAAAAA